TAAATTTTTGTTTATATGGTTTAGTCCAACGGGTAATGTATGTGCCATAACATAACCACCAAACTATAAAATCTTATTTTTATGTATATTTCTATTCACAAAAAGATTGCATTTTTATTATTTTTTTTCTTCCAATGACTGAATAACAAATGGTATAAAATATTGGATTTTTGTGCTGTATATATCTTATTATACAATATTTTATCACATAACAAATTACAAAATGCTAATTAAGTTGTTTAATACGGAAATATAGATATTTAAAGTAATGAACGCTAGACTTAATAATATTTTGTTGGTTTGATTTGATTTCGCAATTTAAACCGATTCGCAGGGCTTAGGCTTTGGTGAACCCTATTATTAAAATAAACAATTAATTTAAAACAAATCTTAAACACGTTATAAACGGCGCTTAAATAAGATACAGACCTGATAGGAATCGCAAACCAATTTGAGCAAGTTACTTTCGGCCAACTTTTGCATGGCGTCCGAGTGCTGGCCATTGATAGTCACCCATGGAATCCAATTCTCTTTGGGGTCCAAAGCCTCTGTCTGTCCGGCCATGAAGTACNGGCCATTGATAGTCACCCATGGAATCCAATTCTCTTTGGGGTCCAAAGCCTCTGTCTGTCCGGCCATGAAGTACTGGAGGGCCAACCCCTCCAACGAGTTGGCGCACGCACTCAGCTCTTTGAAGTCAAGACCCAATTTTTGTGCACACTTTTTGTCAACAAAATAGTAGAGAAAGTGTAAGAAAAAACACACATAAAAGAAAAAAGAGAAAATCAATATTCAATTTGCTTTCGTTTGCGATTCAAACTCCGGCTTTAAATCTAATATTTTGAGATAACAGGCGTTACAACAAAAGGACTATCAGATTAAGTCACTCATCAATCCTTTTTTTGCAACGCTATTCTGCCTATACTTTGTTATCCGGGTTTCGCTTTTCACGTAATATTTGTTTCAATTGAACACAACTTTTCAAAAAACAACTTCAAAATAGCAAAAACAATACATGGTCTCAAATACTGAGTTTGTCTCTGATTTTTCTCTACAAAATTCTCTTCAGATAATTGCAAAAAAAAAGTTTTGTTTTTTGCATAATAATAGGGAAAATACTATTTTCTCATTTACATCACATATTCTCTACTACTACTTGACATTAATGGAAAACAATTGATTTTAAACTAAAAACGTTTGTTTAAACAGTTGTTTAAAATTAATGAAGTCATACCTCAGCGCCGGACTTCCAGGGAGTCTTCCAGTCATTTGATGCAAACATACAATTAGTTAAACCCAGACTCCTGTCGATGTCGTACTTGATTACAGCGCAAGACTTGTGGAATAGAAAAGCAAATAAACAAAAATAAATATAAAATATACAGAATATTGTATTATTATATTGAATGAGATTTTTTGTTTTTCGGTCATATAATAAATTTAGGGGTAATTTTTGGTACAATTTCTGGACACTTATGGAAATGAAATTTTTTTAAAGAACAAAAACCGCTTATTTGTTCAAAAATGATAGATATTTAGTGTTTTGTATAAAATATCTCAAATCTCATACCAAAAAAGATATAATCACACGATATGTAGATATTTTATGTTAAAAAGATTTATACAGAAAAAGCATGAAATATAATTTGACTCGAGAAACAAAACACAAATAATAACAATAATAAGTTTAATGCGAAAAATACATACAGAAAAAACAAAAGCCTATACTTAAGAGTCAGAGAAAAGGATCGTCAAAAAGATTTCTAATAAACTAAAGTGGGGTATAAAGTGCTCAACATTTGTATATATTGTACACTATTTGTAATATACTGTATATTTATTGTGAAGAGCATTGATCTATAAATCAAATATAAAAGTTAAAAAGGAAAACTCAAAAATAACTATTTTTATTATGTAATAACACTATTATTATTTAAATTTTTGTTGCGAAATGTATGTTAAATATTTTTTTAGTTGAAAAGGTCTGTCATTTATTATAAATAATAATGTGGTGTAAATTGAATTATTATCTTTAATTAATAACTTTAGTTTTTGTGATTTTTTGGTGCGAATATAATTTATATTAATTATAATTAAGAGAAAAGAAATTTATTATTTCAATCAAAATATATTTTAACCTAAAATATACGAAAAATAAAATAAAAATAATCAATTTAATAATCACAGAATTTTATTATAAATGTATTTTTATAATATCTCTCTGACATAAACTTAATATTTATTAGTTTCTTACGTATACTGTAATTATCAAAATACATTAATTTTAAGTTTAATTACCAAGACTATTGTTTCTTAAAATATAACTCTTATCAATTAGCGATAATTTTCACACATTATATCACGTTTACAAACAACGATCAATAATATAAGGCATATTCTTTGGGCACATTTACACTTTAAATTCTTGAGCACATTATATCTTATCGACAAAACACTTTGCTATTAAATACATGCATGATTTGACTGCTAATTGAGGTAATTTTGGTCTTCATTAACTATTACCATGTTATTGGTAACGTATAACGAGTACAAAATCCCTCTAATATACGGGTATCGTTAGAACTAATGCTTAAAAATGGTAAATTAGTTGTGTATTTCACGTCTCGCTTCTCACGAAAATTTCCTTAAATATTTTCCTAAAAAATTTTCCGTATATTTAAATAGTTATATAAAATACAACAAAAATCAATAATCGCCTCAAACGGCGAGTTAAACACTTTTTAAGGCAGAAAATTCTCGCTTTATATGTCATTTATAAGATGGTAAACATGTCACTCAATATGCCAGGGGATTATAACATGATAATAATAAGTAAAAATTGTTGTAAAAAACACGAATAATACCTGGATTATATTGCCGTCACATTCCTGGGCCTGATGCTGACACGTATAGGTAAGCCTCGGGTGTTGTGTTGAATTGGACACGAATGTCATCTTTGCGTTACCAAACGGCACCAAATTAATGGTCAGTATCTGCGGTTCGGCGCCTTTCAGCGCGTTATACACCGGATATAACTGGTTGTTAACAAAACGCTTGCTGTCCGGACACAGCGACTCAATATATACGCCCACTTCAATATTCTGGGCCCGAGCGGCCCCTAAAATGCACATGGTAGATATTTGTTGTAGATTATGGTTAATTTTTAATTTACAATTATAATACCTGTGAATTTAATTAAGGCGAGTGTCGCCACGAATAGTGCAATTATTTTCATTATTTATGTTAATTAACAACTATTCAAAACAAATGATAATTTATGCGACAAAACAAACTCTTAAAACTTAAAAATGTTTGCAGAAATATTTAACGATTAGTTTTTATACACTTTTTCAATGCCTGTCTACCAGTTGTTTGTATTCACAGATATACTATCATATATTAAATAAATATAAAATTTTATATTAAAATATATGAGAATTTTGTTTATCACAAACACAAGACCCTCGATATGAAAGTACAGTAACTTATATGAGCGCCAATATATTCACGTCTACTGTAATCGCATTTAAAGCCGATTCTGTTATCGTTGGAGAAAAAAACTTTTTCAAACACAAGCGATAAGAGGAGCCATAAAAAACATGTCTACGTCTGGGAGAGCCATTGAATGCAGAGCCGCCGTATTTATTGAACCAAACAAACCGTTAACCGTAGAGCAAGTGCTCGTCGACTGTCCGCAAGCGGATGAAGTGCGGGTCAAACTGTACGCGTCGGGCGTTTGCCGGTCCGACGCCTCGTCTATATGGGGCAAAAGGGGCGACTGTTTTGTGCCGTACGGTAAGCCTATGATCAATGGACACGAGGGGTCCGGTGTAGTCGAGTCGGTGGGCGAACAAGTGACTGATGTTGAGGTCGGCGATCACGTGGTGCTGCTGTGGTTACCACAGTGTAATCAATGCGTTAAATGCAAGAATCCGACTACAAATACCTGTATGGTTGCGCTCAGTAGAGGTATATTTGATTGTTTCTTATGGTTTGCGATTGCATTCAATTGAAAATTTCACTTTGAATTAAGTACGAAATTAGTTTGTCTTATTATGTCAATTATTATCAAGATCAATTTTTGACATTTAATTATTAATATAATAATAACACAAAATTACAAACTAATAATCAGAAAAATAAATATTAAAATCAATATCACAATTAATTTATTTGAAGAGTATGAGTCCATTCATAACTAAACAAGGTTTGAATCTAAATAACATAATGTAATTTCTTAAATAACACAATCGTTAAGTTATTTAACGAGAACACTAATAACTAAACACTTTTACTTTACTACTAAAACACCCATCATTTAAACCAGATTTATCCAGATATCACTAATAATAAATAGTAATAAATACAAATGAATTAATTTTTAATTACTCTAACTATAGTAAATAAATACAAGGATTGCATGACATTTGCATAACTGAACACATAATCATTAAAACAACATTACATGACAAAAATGTGACACAAAAATTATTTTTAAAGGCGACTGCGAAGAGGGATGGCTACCGGCCGATGGGATCAGTCGTTTTCATTTGGTTGGCGACGGGCGTCCAGTGTTGACGCCGTCGACCAATTGTAACCTGGCCACTTTTGCCGAGTACTGTATCGCCAAACAGTCAATGGTTGTCAAGATTGACAAAACACTGCCTCTGGATGTGATGTCGGTGTTTGGCTGTGCGCTGCCCACGGGTTACGGGGCGGCGGCCAATGTGGCCAAAGTGCACGCCGGCAGCACTTGCGCCGTATGGGGTTTGGGCGCAGTCGGTATGGCTGTGGTGTTGGGCTGTAAACTGATGGGCGCTAACGTAATCATTGGTTTAGACATCAACAGTGATAAGTACGAAACGGCCAAACAGTTTGGTTGCAATCAATTCATTAACCCGTTGGACACAACAGAGTCGACAGACGCTGTCATCAAATCTATATTTAGTAAAACATTGTTTTTTGTTTTCATTAGTCGTACAAATGAATTAGTTTTTGCATTTTATTTATTCATTAATTATTTGCCAACAGAAGAAGGAGTTGACTATACGTTTGACTGCATTGGGAACCAATCGGTGATAGAGGCGGCCATCAGATCGTTGTGTCCGTCGGGCACTTTCGTGGCCGTCGGTCTCCTTCAACCGCAACACACGTATACACTGCCAGTAATGAGACTATTGGATGGCCTGACACTCACCGGCGGTCTGTTTGGCAAATAATTAATGAATAA